TTTTTTTTTTTTGGTTGTTTTATTTTTTTTTCTTGGATTATTTTTCGATATATAAAACTGAATGATAAAATATTTGTTTACAAAACGGAAGCGCTTAATTTTATTTCAATTAACTAATTGTTGATACGTTGAATAACGAAGAAGACAAAAGTATGGGGGGGGGTGGGGGTGGAAAAGTTACATTTACTATGACAGTAGCTGTGAACCGTAAAAACAACTGCTTCTGTATTCACCAATATCCTAATATTTTTGGTTCTTAAACTTGTTCCCTTCTTTTTTTTTTCTTTTTTCTTTTGCAATTAATAAATTATAAGTGGTGTTGTTATAATGGGCTATAAAAAGGTAAACAAAAGAAGAAAAAGATTTTTTTTTTTTTTTAAAGATACCAAATGGCATTATTTCTCTAAAACATTTATCATTCGTTTTACACCGAATTAAGATTAAATCTTGACAGTGCTTAGGCATCAGAATACAAATTATTAGCTCTAAATCGTTTACTATATACTAAGTTGACCAAATTTTTTCAGTGTTATTCCTTCTTAGTTTATTTTCTGCACCTAATATTTGTTTATGAGGCAACAGTTCAATTGCTGTTTTTAGACCTAAGTATGATGCTCATTAACTGTTGTACAATGACTGTAATCTTAACTAAACAGTTTTTTATTCTAACAGAAAAGTATCAGAAAAGATAGGAGAGTGATCTTTGATATTTTTTGTTACTGTTGTCTTATAAGCATGTTGCAGATGAACACCCTATAAAAAAGTTAGGGATAATCATCTAAAAGATGATTTTTACAACAAAAACGATTTGTTTATTTAGTAGAAAAAAAAACAATTTGCATTTAAAAGAAGAGAAAAAAATGGAAAAATAAGTGAAATAAGTCTTAAACTTCAGTGGATTACCGGTTTGTCTGCACGCTAATGATATTTATCTTTGCTTGTAGGGTAATGAAAAGTCGATATGCCAAATTTTTGGGTCTATTTGCCATTGTCTATATTGCTTTACATTTATGTGTAACAGTGCTAAACAATGGTACGGTTGAAGATCGTCGTCAGATTACAAACCCCAAAGAATCTGATGGGCCGTTGATAATGAGAGATTTACCAAAATCCGAAGGAAATGTTTTGCGGTAAATTTGTTATAATAATAGACGGGGAGAGAGGGGGAAAAAAACTTAGTTTAAAATTACTATAAAATTTTGTAATACAATTAATGATTGGCATTGTTGTGTTGTGTTCAGAAAATAAATGATATACAGTTCTTAATGTAATCTTTTGTAAAACTGTTATATCATCTTTTCTGCAACGGTCATAAATGCCACTATTACAACGAACAAAATACATTGTTTTCTACACATTTATATTGCCAATGGCACTGTTGCAAAATCGTTAATTAGTTTTTTTTTTTGGTTTTGCAGGAGAGTTGTTGTGGTCAACTCAAATAATGCATTTTCAAACGACAAAAACGATGACATTAAAGTAGAGGAGCCTAAGAATACAACTTATCCAGCTCCTACTGTTTCCGAAGACTTTGAACAGGTAGCTCAAACTTCTTTGGCTTTTCTAATCCAGTTGTGAGCCTTATAAATCTGATATAACTATAAGGTTTTTAAAGCTAACATTCGTATTTTCTGCTGTGCTGTTGCTTTACACAAAAAATGTGAAAAATTTTTCAATACTTTAAACTACACCCCTTTCAGGCTTTAAAAGCAAAGGTTCAGAAGATTTATAAGACGGATACTGATTTTCTGTATATTACACTGATCAATAAAGCGTACGTAAATCTAACATGCAATTGGCTTTGCAATGTGGAACAGTTTAAAAGCAATGTTATTGGCAAAACACTGATTATTAGCTTAGATTCGGAAGTTTGTGATACAATCCATAAGCAGTGGCCAAATGTGAACTGCCTGGTTTTCAACATAACCGACGAATACAATCAGCCACTTAATTGGGGCCATCAAGATTATATCAATATACTGACTTTACGAATCCAAATCATGCGCATAATTGTTGACGTAGGTGCTTGATACGTCGATATCTTCAATCCATAACTAATCAAGATTTTGATTGCAGTTATTTTACGTTTTCATACATCATTACAGCCTTGCAGATTTTTTTGCTCTTTTGCAATTTAAATGCCATCATTTTAGATGAACACCACTTTTGTCCTTTTCGAAACTGATGCCGCTTGGTTAAAAGATCCCTCAGAATTCTTTAAAAATCAAACATTGGTTGACGATGCCGATATCATTGTTCCACGAAAAGGTTTCATTTCTGATAAATCAACAAAAAGCGCTATTTGTTTATCACAACACATTAACAGCGTTAAATTTTACTACTCGATTGCAAAAAAATTGCTAACATCATAAAGACAATACGGTTATTGCAGGTTATACAGATAAAGGTCAAACATATACTTTTGATCCAATGATTGTCTATCCAAACCAGGGTTCAAAATCGTTGATAAAAGCAATGGAAACTCGGCTGATTGCTGATCCCAAACTCTATGATCAGGTTAAAAAAGTTGTTTGGAGCAGTCATTAGCTGCTTGAATAAGTTATTGCATTGAGCACTGATAATTAATTAGGCGCCGTTTTTTACACAATAACGAGCTGAACTGCTGATTCAAAAATTTTTAGAATTCATCTTTCAAGATAACAGATGCATTTAGGATTTACTTGATGAGCTGTGTCGAACACAGTACAATGGTGTTGTATGTCGACAGTTCGACTGGAACGATGTTGCAGATGGCAAGTGGTTTAAACTTGCGGAATCTGAACGCCGTAACATACATCCGTACATTGTGAACAACAACTACTACATCGGTGTGACCAACAAAGCTAGTCGTCAAGCTCTCAATGGGCTCTGGTTCTTGTCGCCAAAGGGATACTGTGTGAAAACGAAAGTTGAAACCATGTTCCGTAAGTATTCGACAAGTGACGAAAAAAACGTACAAAAGAAGAGCAACAAAAAAAATCGGCAAAAAAGAAAAAACGTCAAAGCAAACAGCTAAAAGGACCCAATGAAACGCTTATTTCGTAGACGAAGTCATGAAGCAGTAATGAAGAAACTGTGTCTATGACTGGAAGAGACAACAACTGCAGTCGGCCTTAAACGATGGAATCCAGATGCTGCTGGTCCTTCAGTTGACCCTTCCCTTGACAACGGCGTACACCCAGCATCGATGGAAACTAATGTTTCGTTGTTTCTCTGCGTGTTTGCGTATCTTTCATCTCTTTTCAGATGGGCATTGACTAAAATGCAACTGTATTAAAAAGAGCAAACACGATACAAAAGAAATTATTGATACTCAGAATATTTTATAAGAAAAAACAGAATTTTTTGGTTTAAAAAAAATAAAGCCCTCATTTACTGGGATGCAACAGATTTAGTAATAGCTTATGAATGGCGTTGCCAGCGTTGTTACCTAAAAAAACTTTTTCAACGAAAAGTTACAGTTCTGCTTTAGCTGCCGTTATGTTTCTTTCTCTTTTTTTTCTCCCATCATCTAAAATCTTTTGATCTTTGTTGTTGTAATAAATCTCCATCTAAAAATCATAATCCGCAAGTGAGAAAAAATATTAAGAAAGTGTTTAAAAATTTATTCCATATCATTTGTGCAAATTATACATGCCGCTTTTAGAATAGGATAGACTATTGACGATGGTGGTAATGATGGTGATAATGGTGATGATTATGGAATTATTTTTAATGATGAATATGATGGTAAAGGCATGGATATAAATTTTACTTTTGTTAAAGCTATTAATGAAAAATTGTGTATAATAGAAGCAATCCTTCCTTTTTTTCTTGCTTTCTAACAATCAATTTTTAGTACTTTTGGTAGATCTTTGAAATGTATGAGAAAAACTTTAGAAAACAAAATAGAGGAAGAAAATAAAGAACGAAACAAAATGAAATAAAACCTAAAAAAATTGCATTAAGAACTATGTTAAACAAAATACCACACTGGTCGAAAACGAATACAAAATTAAAACTCTAAAAATTTTATAACCTAAACAAATCTGTTGTATTCGATGTATCAAATAGTTAGTGCTTCTGAAGCAATTAAACATCAAGTTGCTAAATAAAGGAAATAAACTAAAAATCAGTAGAAAAATTTCAGCTAATGCTTTTCGCTGTATCATTCAATTACAGTTATCCTACCAGTAGCTGATACTTTTATGAGTATATAAAGAAAACTGGTAGCAAAAAAAACAAAGTTTAATTTATTAAATGAACAAAACAATTTTGGAAAACAGTCAAAACTTAAGCAACAGCTACTTCTTTCACCTCGATTTCTTGTAAAAATTTTATTGCAAAAAAAGGCGTAAAAAATAACTGCTGACAGAGCTTCATTACAACTACATTATTCTCAGTGGTACCAGAGCAGCATTAATTGTAGGCTACTGAAACAGCTCACCAAATTCAGATTGGCAGCACATTAGACCAGTCTTGAACCAAGAACATTAATTTAACCACCAATAGCAGAAGCAGTAGCAGTGTTAGTTCTGAACAATGAATAAGTGCCTAATAGCCACAGCTGATAGACGGCTTAAACCGACAAATGTTGACAGCTACCTATCTTCGGTTTCTGCATTTCTCGTGCAATTCTTGTGGACGGCGAGGCTGTCAACCTGAATGCAGTTACAGCACTAACAGATCACCTACGAATGGCATTCAGTTAAAAAAGCACTAAGCAAACTGCACACTAAACGAATATCTCTTGAAGTTGGATTTCAAGATGAACTGATATTGAAAAGGAAAAAAAAAGATGTAATTAAAGAGTAGCACTGGAGTAAACTGTAATAAAACGCTTTCGTTTTTCAATAGCGAAAAAAAACGAGACGACAAAGAAGAAATAAAATAGAATAAAAAGAAGTCTATTGATTCTAAATGTTGTTTCCAGCTTCAATTTAAAGTATTTCTTGTGTTTTTGTGGCCTTCTTTTTACCAGTTATTTTTTTCTATAGCTTTCAGAGAGCCATTTTGTTTTTTTTCTTTTTGGTAAACACCTACGCAAAAACTTTCTAAAAAATAATTATATACGAATCTTAAAGACTAGGAAAGGCTGCTCAGTAATGGGGTCTTGTTAAACGAGAATTAACAACACTGACGAACAAAGCAGAACTCAAAATCCTTACAAAAATTTCGCTTTTTTTTTTTTTGCTTATTCATCTGCTTTACTCATACAGTTATCTCGTTTGATCTAAGCTTCCTTTGTTCTTCAAATTAATTTGACTTTAAAATTGTGACATTCTTCTGCTGCTCTTCTTTTTGTCTTTTATTTTTTTTTAATACATAGTTTTGATACTGTTTTATGCTTTTAAATTTAAATTTGCAGCTACTTTAATGTATTATATGCATTGTTGTTTGTATCTGCGCACTCAATATTCAGACAGAAATCCTTATCATCGATGTTTTAATAAGTTTTTCAGTGGTTAGAGTTAAGACTCTAAAATTGCTCAGTACAGTTAGCTATTCAAAGGCCAACTTCCTCAACAGTTTCTTTACATATGCATCAGGTGCTTTTCTTCCTGTCCTTCATTTCTGCTGGAACTTTTGACAACTTATTTTGTATGCATGTAATTTTCTTTTCTATATACAGCAATTTCATAAGAAAATATTTTGTCATCATAACAGAAACAGTAGGTAGCAAAAAAGAAGAAGCGAAAATAATTGAGAAGAAATAGCAAGTAATAAACTATAAGAATCTCTCAGATAAGTCATACTGCAGCAGACAGAGATTGTGAATATACAAAAAAATATGTATATACATTTATAAAAAATGAATTCAAAATTGTAATTTACTGCTGATATAAAAAAATACCGACCACAGAGGTATTGTTTAACAGCTTATAAATGTAAACTATTTGTTAGACAAATAGTATTGAAAGTATTAAGATTTTGGAACTTGAATAAGCTATAAAAGTAGCTGTCTATTGTTCTTAACATTAAAGAATGTTCTTTTTCGTTATTGAATTGTTTATAAAACGTTTCATTTGATGTCCTTTTTGTAGCATTTAATTAGACAGTCAATTTAGACCTATTTTATTCGCTCAAATCAAGAAACAGTTTCATTTTTGCAGCCGAAAATTACAGAAGTACCTGATACTGTAAATGTGGCATTCGATACATTGATAATTGAAATTTTTTGAATTTTCCAATTTCACAGACAAATACAAAAATTTGTGATTTTCTAATCCAAAAAAAAAAAAAAGGAGATATGTATATCAATAAGAACAAAAAAAAAAAAAATATATATATATACTATATGACAAAAGAAAAAGCTGCAGAGCCTCATTGCTTGTAAAATTTCGTGGTGTTACTCTCTTGGGAACCATTGGTGATTAATGGTGATCAAACAGAAAAAAAGAACAACGCCGTGGTTAAAATCTGATAAATTAAGACAACAACCAGTCGTAGTTTAACGCTGTGTTGAAACTATAAGTGTAGTTTAAAGAAAAGAAAAGAACAAGAGTTGAAAAAATTGGTTTTTTAAGATCTTGTGCCGGTTATTCATGTCGAAATTTCAAAGTTTTGTCAGTTTTTTCTACACATATATTTTGCTTTGTATTTTGCTTTTTTGCAGTTCACTGCCACATATTACTGGTCGATATCTATAAGCGCAAGCAAAAAAAAAAAAAAACAAAATTGGTGTCTAAAAAATTTATAATGTTGAGTAAGCCGTAAAAATTTCAACAAAAATTTGAATTCTTAATTGCTTTTTTTTTTTCACTGATGCATTTTTCAAATCCCAATTTTTGCGGCTTGTCTGTTGGTGTATCTCAGAAAGTATTGTTAAAGTAACTGATCTTTACTGTAACACACCATAATTGTACATTATATTAAAAAAATAATATATGCAAAAGCCTATTTTAAATTAAATTTATTGCCTTTTTTCTGTTAGCTTAATCTTGATAATTTAGCACTGGTCTCATACTAAGCATAAGAGTTAAAAGCTCTGTATAGACTTTGCACTTTATACTCTTTTCCACTGTCTAAAAAAGGAAACCTGGTCACATGTGTTTTTGGTTTGGTGTGAAAAAAGAACGAGACTTGTGACATCATTAAATGCGCTTTTTCTGTCTTTGTTTTTTTGGTTTTTTCACACTCCCCCAGTTGTCGAAAGGAAATGAAAGAAATTTTTTCCACCTCTTTCTTGCTCTCAATTTATTCTTTTTTTTTTCACATAAGTTTTAACCCAAAAAATGACAGTTTTTTTGGCAAAAGTTTTAGTATATTTACTGATTAGTGTGATTAGGACGTTAAAGGCATCAGATGCGAAGAAGAAGTTGTAACGGAAAAGGAATAGCATTGAAACAAGAATGGAGAAAAAAAAAATAAAGAAGAAATGAAAAAACAGAAGTGGAAAAAACAATTAATGAATATTTGACTTCAGTGGCAGTAAACGATTAATTTTGCTCTCTGAAGTCAGACTTAATACATCAGCTTTTTGCTGTTTTTTTTTTTTGAGGTAGAAGAAGGAAAGAAGAAGAGAAAAAAGTGCTATGAAAAAGGCAATAAAAAACACTCGATTTGGTTGATAAAATTGCCAACCAAATATCCTTATCTGATAACAGAAACAATGTACAACAGTAATAAAAATTAAGTACTTTTTTTCTTGTCTAGTTTTCTGCTTGTAAAAACTCAATAATCTTGTGAAAAATTTATCATTTATTGTCATCGTGGTTATTGTCAATATCTATTTATTGAATTGAATCAACCAAAAGATAAAATTGCTTTTTCTTAACTAATGCATCTTCTGATGAAAAAATTTTTATATTTTTTTCTTCTCTTAACTATTAACTTCTTTTTTCTTTCTTTATTGCTTATAGGGCATTAAAAAAACCAAACCCAAACAAAAAAAAAAATTTAAAAAAATTTTTTTTTTTTTTATAGCACTTAAAATCGCTATTTTTCATCGGCAACGGCCCAGTGGCCGGCCGATCGATCGGATGAAGCGGTGAAAACAAGGGAGGATTAACTGAACAGAGGAGAATGGGATAACGA